ATACTCTTTGTAATACTTTAAGCAATAAAAAAAACGAAGTCAAACACAATACATTCGCCTAGAATCTGTTTTTGTGATTAATCACTATGCTTTAATTATGTTCAATCTGTAACAATGAAAATACATCCTGCATATCAGATATTTACATCACTATTCATAACAGTAGCAAAATTACAGTTATGAAGTAGCAACGAAAACAATTTTATGGTTGGGGGTCACCACAACATGAGGAACTGTATTAAACTGCATTAGGAAGGTTGAGAATTACTGCTGTAGAGTATATTTGTATGACCTTATTGCTGGGGTAATCCATTTCAATGCATTTGCAAATGCCTCAACTACCCTTTCCCACACACTGGAACAGTGCCCTGCCCCCTCCAAGCTACATTGTGGTTTAGATGTTTACACTCAGTGTCCAGTCAGTAGACAGAAGCCACATCAGTGATTTGAACAGGGTAATTTTTTAATATGTTTTTATTGATTTCAGAGAGAGGAAGGGAGAGGGAAAAGTAAAAACATCAATTATGAAAGAGAATAATCAGTCAGGTGCCTCCTGCACACCCCCTCCTGGAAATCAAGCCCGAAACCAGGCATGTGCCCTGACTGGGAATCAAACAATGACCTCCTGGTCATGGGACAATCATCAACCACTGGGCCACACCACTTGGGCTAAACAGGGAAATTTTATATTTATTATTATTATTATTACTAGAGGCCCGATGCACGAAGATTTGTGCAAGAATGGGCCTTCCTTCCCCTGGCTGCCGGCACCGCCTTTGCTCCGGCCTGGAGCCACCTTTCTGCCTTCCCACACTGCCCAGAGGCCTGGAGCAAGCGTCCCGCCCCGCCCCTGGCCACTCAGCACCTGCATATGCAAATGAACCTGCGATCTTTGCTGGGTTAATTTGCATACTCACTCCTGATTGGCTGGTGGGCGTTGCAAAGGTACAGTCAATTTGCATCTTTCTCTTTTATTAGTGTAGATTATTATTATTGCTTTCAGAGAAAAGAGGGAGAGAGAGAGAGAGAGAAACATCAATGATAAGAGAGAATCATTGATCAGCTGCCTCCTACACACCCCTCACTTGGATCGAGTTTGCAACCCAGGCATGTGCCCTTGACCAGAATCGAACCTGGTACCTTTCAGTCTGCAGGCCAATACTCTATCCACTGAGCCAAACCAGCTAAAGCAGGGAAATCTATAATAATAAAAGCATACTATGCTAATTAGACGAGACAGCCGAACGACCTTCCAGACATTATTCCGGATGTCCTTCCAGATGAAGCCGCCAGGGCGGGGGCCAAGGCAGAGGCAGTTAGGGGTGATCAGGCAGGCAGGCAAGTAGAATAAATAAATAAAAATTTTTATATAAAAAAAATTACTAACTAGCCAAAGGTAGTTTTAGTGGTTACCTACTGAAACAAGTAAAAGAAAGCTCTAAGGAATACAGAAATAGCAGATACAGGAAACAGACACTAAGTCTAGAGTTAAGACAGAGTACACGGGAAGGAAGAAATTTGGGAGAGGAACCCCACAAGACACATTCAGAGCTTATTGGTAAAGGGAGGACCGTGGCCCCTGGAAGGAGTACACTGACAAGCCACAGGCCACAGCTGGTGGCAGGAAACCTCCCACGGGGGTTCTGCTTAGCCCCCCGGAAGCATCCTCTGGAAAACAGGCTGCTGCAATGCCAGGCAAATTCACCAAAAGGTGCGACACTGGGCCTTCTGCAGGCCAGTGACAGTCCACCGTGGGGGCAAGAACAAAAGGGCCAGCAGGGAAGAGATCCCATTTCCCCTGCTGTGCCCTACAGCGCCCCCTGCAGCACAGGGGCTGCCAAAGGCTCACAGCATTGGGCTGCATGGCACAGAAGTTGGGAGGGTCACAAAACAGGGCAAATGTGAGGTGGGTTTGGAACCAAGAGGCAATAAATTGATAATGGACACAGTCCACACCTTTGACTACTCAGCTTCAATATGAGCCATTTACCAAATTTGAACTTTCATATAAAAATACAGCTCTTGCCAAACCGGTTTGGCTCAGTGGATAGAGCGTTGGCCTGCAGACTGAGGGGTCCCGGGTTCAATTCCGGTCAGGGGCATGTGCCTTGGTTGCAGGCACATCCCCAGTGGGGGGTGTGCAGGAGGCAGCTGGTCGGTGTTTCTCTCTCATTGATGTTTCTGACTCTCTGTCCCTCTCACTTCCTCTCTGTAAAAAATCAATAAAATATATTTTAAAAAAAATACAGCTCTACTTTTTCACACATCAAGACAAAGCTACCGTCACACGTGAAGAAAGTCTCACCCTTCCCCCAAAATGAGGAGACAGTCTCAGTCCCTGTATCGATCACTGCTATATTTATATTGCAAATTCCTGAAATCCACACCCCACTGACTGTTCTGTTACCTACAGACTATACTACACATAACCCCCAACGACTTACAGACAGCAAAAGGGTAAGAAGAGCGAGCAGGAAAATGGTTCATGTACACAAGTAACACACACACAAGAGAGAACGTATGCAAGGCTGTCGCTTCACCCCTTGTTTGTCATTGGTCGCAGGTGAGAACTGATCATCTGACTTCTTTCTTCCACCTCCCCTTCGGCTCTTCCACCCGCGTGAGAACCATAGCAAGTCAGAGTTCTCCTCTGGTGGAGAACTGCATTCCTGTGGGTCTGAGGCCTCCAGGGCCCGGCTTCCTTTTCTTTGCTGTGGTTTTCCAGTAACCTTGCCATTGGACTTGGAAGCACCGACGCGACACACTGAGGACTGGGTCCCACGCCCAGCCAAAGCTTTCTGCTGCTGGCCCGGCGTCTGAAAAGGCTCCTCTGTGCACATGGCAGCCCGGGGAGAGCGCTCTTCTTTCCCTGCGGTTGGAGCCTGAAGAGGGGCCCGGGGCTTCCTTGATTCCTTAAGTTGACACCCCAGGTCTTGCCCAGGGAACAGAAACTTGCCGCGGTTTGGGAAACAACTGCTCCCGCCATCCCGGAGCAGGGACCATAGAGGGGGATATCAGGCCTCTCTCCCCCTGACAGTCCATCTGCCATCGTTTCCCTGGAGATTTTGGGGGCCAACTTTTCTGGTCAGATAGTGAAGACCCACAAAACAGATCTGGGACCACCCTCAGCCCCTGGTTCTTCTGCACAAACTCAAGTTGGATAAAAGAAACTCCCCTTAATGCTGCAGAGCAATTCAGCCCCGCCCCCTGGCATATTCAAGCAGAACAACGAGCCCATGGAATATTTTTCATTACCAAAGAAAAACAACTTCCCGTATCAAAATAGCCTGTCCCAGCCCAGCACAGTCAACTTCTGTAACCTGCTGCCTGAGCTGGGCAGGAACTGACTGTTCACAGCCTCACACCTGGGAGCCTGCACGCAGGGGGTGGGGCTCTGATAGCAGGGGGTGGGTTCTGCATGCAGGGGGTGG